CCCCCAGCAGATAATTATGAAACATATGAGTACAGATCTTTGTATGGTCTAATGTAGTTACTCTCAATGTTGCCATTTAGTAGCTATAAGATTTTGGAAAAATTGCTTAACTTTTCTGAGCTTCAGTTTTCTTGTCTCTTAAAATGGGACTAATAATACCTACCTTACAGTATTATTGTGAAGGTGAAGTTAACCTAAACGAGATAATATATTTTTGGAGCCTGACATAGTGGCTGGCACAATGTGAGTACCTCATAAATAGTGCAATGTTTTTTATGTTTGTATAGCACTGCGTAATTTTCTCACATACCATATCATTTGATCTTTCAAATTAAGAAGTGATCAGGAAAGATGGTAAGAGCTTGGTAAAAGCACCTTTTTTACAGATGAAAAAGCTAAGTTTCAGAGTGGTAAGTCCAGTATCATATGGCTATTTATGGTTAGGTTTTCTGATTCCTCATCTAGAGCATTAGACTTTTCCCTCCTTTATTTAAACTCTAATTTTTTCATTTACTTATTTAAGCTTGTAACTATATAGGTATATGGAGTTAAGGGAGCCATTGCTTTAATAGAATTCCTGATGCCCTCATCCCTGTATGCAAATAAAATAACAGATACTTAAACGGCTTTGGAAAATAATTTTAAGTTCTAAGGAAACATAAAATTGAATGATTTTTTGGTTAATTTATTATATTTAGTCCCTTAGTAGTCACATTTTCTGTAGTTGGTAGTAAATTAGAAGCATCTAAAAAAATCATTTCCAAAAAGGAAAAGAAAAACTTCCTATAGCCATTTTTCCATTCTCATTACTGTATTAACCTTGTTCAAATATTCTTTTAATAGCAAATTCCATATTGCTTCTAAGCCGTTTGTTGAAGAATTCCTAAGCATTATAGCTCCTTATTGTTTTGTTGGAGGAACTAATTTTATTAACGTGTGTCAATGAAACTGACACTTAAGGAATTATGAGCAAATAATATAGCATTTGCTAGATTATCTTTGTTTTAAGTTCTCTAAAAGAAAGTATTTCTCATAATTGTTAACACTTGTCGAAAATCTGTGAAGGAAATAGGTGGAAAGTATTCCACTATTCTGCAATATCTGGCTATTAAAAAAAGAAGGATTGGCCCGCTTATATTCAGTATAGTGCATATCTGACTTGCTCTACCTCCATGTATTTCCTTCAGTGTAAAGAACTTAGGCAGGTGTTATTAATAAAAAAAAAATAATAAAAAAACTCCTATTTTAAATAAGGATGCTATTCTCCCAGCTTTGAAGCTCACACATACTCTCTAACTTATCCCAGCTTTCGCTCATCTGGTCTTTAAATGTCTCCTTTCATGTGGTCAGCCCACGAGCCGTGCGTATTGCCGCTCAATCACGCCACTGTACGTAGCCATCATGAGGGTGGTTTGCATGATTTGCATTTCCTGTACTGTTTGAGCTTCAATGAGCTCTAAGCGCCACGTATGAAGAAACCACTGCCAAGTAGTTCAATGATTTTAGTCAAACCAGATGAGTCTGTGCTAGAGTCAGGCTACCAAGTTGGTTGGGGGTGGGGAGGTGTTGTTAGGATATCCTGTTAAAAAAGGATTCTTCAAGATGTCCGCACATGCAGGATGTGAATTCCTTAACAAATCTGGCCACATAATGTAAGAAAGTTACTTTTGGGAAGATAAGACTAAAAGGCTAGATGAATAACCATATATATATTGCTCTTAAAAAATTCAGCCCTGTAGATTTTAGTATTATACTATAATGTGATTATTTATTGTGACAATAATAGATTTTGATGACATTAAATTTCTAGCTATATAGAATGAAATTTAGTCAGAATTAAATACATTGATTACATGTCCCCTTGTCCTGTAAAAGAAAGCTTATATTTTATTAAAAAATGATTGATGAAAACTGTTGGACAAGTATTACAGAAATGGCATAGTAGTGGGCCAATGAATAGCTACTAAAGTGGGGAAGGAAAAAAACATGTACCAGATACTAGTCTTCATGAAAAACATAGACAGATGGGGAGACAGACCTATATGATGCCACAAATAGATGAATATCTTGTAAGGATTTCAAACAAATGTTGAAAGATCCAGTGAAATTTTAAAAGTTGATTTAAAAGTATATCTTATTGCTTATAAACATAGTGTATTTATTCTGCTCACCTGAAACCCAACCTCTAAATTGTTAATAAAATATTTTATCAATATTAACCAAAAAGAGTATAGGCCGAAACTATATGTAAACTCAGAAATATTAAAATGAATCTCACTAATAAGAGGGACTAATTTTTCTTAGGCTTCTTAGACTCAGATATTGCATTATAATGCTTACAAGAAAACCTTCTATAGAAATCTTTTAAAGTATTGCTTGATAATAGTTTCATATATTTCCTATTCTTATGATGGACAATAGAAGAATATTCTCTTTTCTCATTATATATATGTGTATGTATATATATACACATATATATGTATATACATATATACACACATATATATACATACACATATATGTGTGTGTATATATACACACACAAACACACACACTTAATAAAAATGTACCTGATAACTTGCTGTGGATGCTACTCAATAGTTTTTAGTACTGGTTCACTTGATTACAGCCTGCTAACTAATCAGTGCCTATAAAGCATGCCCTGCAGCACTTTTAAGGAATTCCTTTTTTTTTTTTTTTTTTTGAAACAGAGTCTCACTCTGTTGCCCAGACTGGAGTTCAGTGGTGTGATCTTGGCTCACTGCAAACTCCGCCTCCCTGGTTCAAGCGATTCTCCTGCCTTAGCCTCTCAAGTAACTGGAATTACAGATGTACACCACCACAACTGGCTAATTTCTTTTGTATTTTTAGTAGAGATGGAGTTTCACCATGTTGGCCAGGCTGGTCTCGCACTGTTGACCTCAGGTAATCCATCCACCTTGGCCTCCCAAAGTGCTGGAATTACAGGCTTGAGCCACCATGCCCAACCACTTTTAAGGTATTCTAAAGAGGAAGCTTTTAAGTCACAGATACTTACTGAGTAAATTGTTTTATAATTATCTATTTTAAGAAAAGATAGACAATTTATATGGATGAAAAAATATGTATTATTATAGCTACACTAAAATGATTTTGCATGTTGCATGTACTATGTAGTCAATTTAAGTCTGAGAACATTTTTCATGTGTTGTGGACTGGAATGTTAAAGGCCAGTTTTTACTTTTTTTTTTTTAAATTCTCTTTTATTTCCTAATTTCCACTTTTAACACTTACTGAATTTTAATGTATGGCTTAACCCTTATGTATTGCTAAGTTTGGTACTTTTGGATTGTTACTAGCTTATCTGCCATGGGAGATCTTGGGCCACAGAGCACTTTTTTCAGAGTTTGAATTTGAAGGAGGGCATATTTGACCCATAGAGCTCTTCTTGTATTTAACTTGATATGTTTACTAATGCTATTAGAATGTTGCATTTTAAGTAATGTAATGTCATAACTGTTACATAAGTTATTTATTTATTTATTTATTTGTTTATTTTTGAAATAGGGTCTTACTCTGTTGCCCAGGCTAGAGTGCAGTGGCATAATCTAAGCTCACTGCAGCCTCTGTCTCCTGGGCTCAACTGATCCTCCTTCCTCAGCCTCCCAAGTAGCTGAGACTACAGGCTTGCGCTACCACACCCAGCTAATTTTTATATTTTTAGCAGAGGTGAAGTTTCACCATGTTGCCCAGGCTGGTCTCGAACTCCTGGGCTCAAAGTGATTCACCAAACTCAGCATTCCAAAGTGCTGAGATTACAGGCGTGAGACACCATGCCTGGCCAAGTTATTAAAATTATTATTTCTTACCAGTTAAATTAGTTTTAAGAACATTGAGCTTATTAGTGATTTTAGTTTTATGTAAATACATTTGAATAATGAATATTGTACCAACTTTTCTTTGAACATTCTTGGTTACTTAGTTCCTAAGAAACTATTTTTTGAATCTAAAAATAAATTATATTTTTAGATGCTTAATCCCGTGGGGGAAAGGAACACATTTTGCATTAGTTGTCTTTAATTTATTAAATAATTCTGTAATGCACTCTGTGCGTAGATCATGAAAACCACTGGCACACATTTTTCTGACTTCACAACATAAGCTGCACTCCTGTTGCAATCCCAGCAAATGTGTTTATAAAGATTCCAGCAATAATAGTCTTGTGACTAAATAAGAAACAGAAGCTAAAGCTAAGAGCAACACAGATACCTATCTGTTTCCTTGAGTTTAATCTGATTAAAACATGGCTCTCAAAAACATTAAATACAATGTCATGTCAGAGGGGTGGTATATGATAAATATAGCTCATGACAGGAAATCGTTATTAAATCAGCATTACTAGTGAATCTGTTATGGAAATTTCCCTTTAATTTAGTTAAGGTTCCCCAATTTGTCACCTCCAGCACATCACTATAGTTTTCTGTTTTAATGGTAAATGTGTAATTTTCTGTTGAATGAAAGACAATTTTTCTACTTTATCATACATATTTATTGCTACAACTGATCAAACACTTCATACATGAACTACCTCCTCACTTCAACTAGGAAAACCAATATACAGATTAAAAGAGATTCCATACTAATCATTGGCCAATCGGACCTAAATATAACAAACTTAAAGGCAACAGCTACCTGGCCCTTAACAAAGATACAAGCCGTTTTTTAGAAATGTGAAACACATCAACTTGATCAAACCTAAAATTATTGGATTTAAAATTGTAATTACTTGACACAAAAATTTTGAAAACTTCCTATTTAGCTTCGTCAAAAACATACCATCTTTACTGTTTGCTTTGAGGAAATAGGGATAAAATGTTAGTAATAATACATATATTGGTAAATAATAGTAAATAATACATATATTGGTAGCTAAACTCTGAATACTCTAATTTTTTAACAGTTCAGAAAGCGTTTTCTAAAGGAGAAATATTTTTACAAAGCAAGAAGATTATTTGGCTGACTTATATTAATGAAACATTTTGGCACATGTGAAAGATTTCATCGAGCTATTACAACCACCCCCAAAAAATCTTGGTTTCCATTTAAAATGTCACCAATGTGGAAAAAATACTATCAATCAAATTGCATACTGAAGAGGGGGAAAAAAAGGTAAAGAAAAAGTGAAACAAACAGCGAGCTTTCAGTACATTTTTGGCTTCCCTTAAGGAATTCTGACTTGGATATGGTCATTTATCTGTGGCCTTAAGATTACCTGTTTTTTCTCTTTGTTCCACTGTTGTTTTCATATTCATCAGAATGCATCTACTGAGTAATATTCCTTACTTTATGCTCCTCTAGCCAAACACTGGGAATGAGAACAGTAAAATAAATTATTTTCCCAAAGAAACATAGGGATACACCTTCACAACAACAAACTACAAAATTCCATATGACATTATTCTTTTTGCTTTAAAATTATTCTTAAGGACTTGGTAGAAACAAAGACCTTCTTCATAGGAAACTTGAAGTACTAAGTCCCTCTTAGGAGTTTTATCCAGGAAAGCTGTATGCAAGTTGCAGAAACAGCACTGAGACCCTTAGTTTTTAAAATTTAGCCCTTTCAATAAATGGGGAAGACTAAGTAGCTGTGACCTAACTATACTTCTTGAGTTTTGCAAGCAGCTCTTGTCTAGTGTATCTTAGGCCTTTCTCTTTGCATCAGGACTACTTCACCTTTGAGGTGAGCCCGGTATCCTAGTCCCAACTCATGAAGACATTCAGAACCAATTTCCTCTGTGCTCATAAATGCACAGGGTAGAAGGATGGTTCATGTTTCTACTATTAGCTGCTTTTAGGAACATTGGGCTTAATTATGTCATGCTCTCGGTGTGGAAAAATGTATCTAAATCACATTAGAAAATCAAGGTTAAACATGAAAATATTTGGAGGGCTGGCATTCAATGTTCTAGCCTGCATACGGAGTGGCAGTGAATATTGTCAAAACAATTGAGCAAGCAAAGCGTAATTATATTCGATTAACATATGGAAATATACTGAGAGATTAAGTTATTTGTGCAAAGTTTGGCCACTTTTCAGTGTTAGGCAGTAGAAAAACCCAGGTTTATGCTCCTTCTACTGTACTGTCAGTAAAGGAATATCCTGTTTCATCCGCTGGTGAGAGAATTGTTTCACTCAGAAATTACACAGGTACTCTTGCTGTCTAAGTGACCTCAATCAAGGAGGTTTTTATTTTTGCTCAGGGACTCAATTCTAGTTGAGGGTAATCTGAAAGACTTGATTAAATGTAAGTATTCCTATTTTTTAACTCACATACTCAAAATGCTAGCTTTAATGATTTAAATAATCAAAGAAGCTTTATGGGAAAGTAACGAGTTTCTCTAACTCTCGTTTTTACCAGAGAATCAGAAATTACAAATTAGGAAACAGGAGAGATGAGAATGGGACTAGGTTAACCTTTTGGTATGAAGGAGGTCAACATTGAAAATGCAACAAGCCTGGATCCAGCTTGCTCAAAAGAAGCTCCTTGGTGACTCTTCTTCTGGCTTCAGTTGATTATTTCTAGTATCCAACCCTTTTTACTTTCTCTAAATCTCTCTGAGGAACATCCTGGAGTTGCTTTTCTGGCTTTCATTGTAACTGGTTCCTGGCCTACCTGAGGGGATGAATAGCATTATCGTATAGGGTAGGTGCTGCAGGCCATATGGAGCCCAGCAGGATACAAGAGTATGAGATGCCTAGGGAAAGCCTCCCTTTGTCAAGTGAAAGGAGAGAGGTTTCCATTGGGAGGCAGCTGAAATAGAGAATAAAGTATTGAGCACAAATTTACAAATCAAAATAACAGTCTTCCAGGGATAGAGCATGGACCAACATGATATAGTGTCAACCTGCATTTTCATAGGTGAAGGGTGGATGGACTATAGTAATCAAAACAGAAAGATAGCATCCTCTCGAAATAGTGACCACAGAGACAGAGCTCTTTGTATTAGTAATGATAGGTAACATTTATAAAGTGCCTCACTGATTGCTTATGTGTGTGTCATCTCATTTGATCCTGATAGCAACCCAAAATGGTGGATAGGCATGAAGAATCTCCTTTTACAGATCAGGTTCAGAAAAGTGATTTGCCCAAGTTACCCACTAGGAAATTTTAGAGTCAAGACTTGAACCCTAGGATTCTAATATAGGAAATGACTTTGTTTCTCAAATAGGATCCGTTCCTCACTTCTTTCCTCCTCGCTGTCATGAAAATATATCCAGGAACTGTGCGAGCGCTGGGTAAACAGTGGTGAACAACATAGCCCTGTTCCCTACATTTGTGGAGCTTAGTCTGCACTTCTTAGGAGTGTGCTAATTAGTATGGGGTTACTGGGCACTTGAAATGAGGCTAGTCTGAACTAGATGTATTATAATTGTAAAAATATATCCTAAATTTAAAAGATTTATTTCTAATAAGGAATGTAAAATGTAATTTTTATATTATGTTGATAATGTTAAAATTATAATCTTACCTGTTTCAGTTTTATTTTTTAATGACTACTGGAAAATTTCACTGGCTACTAGAAAATTGAAAATTGCATATATTGTTCACATTTGTGGCTCACTTATTTGCATTGGATAGCAAACTATGACATATATGCAACTGATTTTCTGGGGCATATTAATCCTTTTAGTACTTCTTTGGTTAAGTTTTTTACATTGAAGCATTTGGATAATTTGAAATTTGCCCTGGTGCATGCCAGCTTAGATCCCAGTTTGTTTTTCCTCCAGATGTCTACCAAGTTGACTCAACAACTCAGTTGAGTTGTTCATCTCTGATTTGAGAAGCTACCTTTACCACATGCCAGCTCCTCGTATGGATTTGTATCTGTTTCTAGACTTTGCCTTCGTATAAGCATGTTAATATTTGAACTAGTATTATACTTTATATTTTTGAGATTTTAAAATATTCTTTAATGTCTAGTGGGGTTAGTCTTCATCTCCAATTGACTACCCCCTAACCCCACAGAGTTTACTTGGCTATTGTTTTTCATAGTCTTCGGCTATGAAAATTAGAATCAGTTTGTCTAGTTTAAAATAAAAACAACCTATTTATTTATTTATTTATTTATTTATTTATTTATTTTAATTGGGATCAAGATAAAGAGGATTGATGTCTTCACATGTTGTCTCTTCATGTCTGGATATGGTTTGGATTTATGCCTTGCCCAAATCTCATGTGAAATTGTAATCACCAGTGTTGGAGGTGAGGTCTGGTGGGAGGTGATTGGATCATGGAGGTGGATTTTCCCTTTTAGTGCTGTTCTTGTGATAGAATTTTTATGAAATCTGGCTGTTTAAAAGTGTCTGGTACCTCCCACGACTCTCTCTCTTTGTCCCGCTCTGACCACATAAGACGTGCCTACTTCCCCTTTACCTTCCGCCATGATTGTAAGTTTCCTGAGGCCTCCCCAGCCATGCTTCCTGTATAGCCTGTGAAACTGTGAGCCAATTAAACCACTTTTCTTTGTAAATTACCCAGTCTTGGGTATTTCTTTATAGCAGTGTGAGAACAGACTAGTACAGTGTCCAAGGAGATGGTACAGCTTTCCATTTAGTCAAGTCATCTTTGTGATTCCTTTGATAGTACTTTAACATTTTCTTCATATAGGCCTTGTCCATTTAAAAAACTTATTTATGTAATCTTTCTCTAAATGCTGACATACATACATATATGCAACATATTAATTTTGTGCATTATCAGCTTACCAAATTCTGTAATGAATGATTTTTTGGATGATGGTACTGAGCTTTCTAATATCTAAAAATATTGATAATTTTACGTATTTCTTTCCAGTTTTTATACCTTTGATTTTTTTCACTTGCCTAATTTTGTTGCCTAGTAATTGCAGTACAGTGCTGAATTATAGTGGTGATAAGACTTTTTGTCTTGTTGCTGACTTTAATGTTTCTTCCCAAGTATGATATTGGCTTTTGAGTCGAACTGTACATATTTTATTAGAGTAAAAAAAAAGTTCATCTTCATATTTTAAGAATAAAAATTTTGGCCAGGCACAATGGCTCACGGCTGTAATCCCAGCACTTTGGGAGGCCGAGGCGGGCAGATCACGAGGTCAGGAATTCGAGACCAGCCTGACCAACATGGTGAAACCCTGTCTCTACTAAAAATACAAAAATTAGCCGGGCATGGTGGCGCACGCCTGTAATCCCAGCACTCAGGAGGCTGAGGCAGGAGAATGGGAGGCGGAGAGTGCAGTGAGCCAAGATCGCACCACTGCCCTCCAGCCTGGGTGAAAGAGCAAGACTACATCTCAAAAAATAAACAAAAACAAAACAAAATTAAAAAGAATAAAAATTTTGTTCACTTAAAAAATCATGAGTAGTTGTTACATTTGGTTAAATGCGTTCTCATGATCATGTGATTGTTTTTCTCTTTAGAGCTATTAAAATGATGAAACTTACAAATTATTTTATTAATAATGAACTGTAATTGTATTTTTGAGAAAAGGATAACTTGTTTATGATGTCTTACTCTGTTTTCATTTCCTGGCTAGATTCTGTTTGATAGTATTTATTTAAGATTTTGGCATCTAATTATAAGTGAGATTATCTTGTTGTGTATTGGTCTTGTTATACTTACTTTATAACAATAAAATAATATTGAAGTTCTCATTACCCCATACTTCACTATAGCAGTTTAAGTAGAAATGGACTTATCTAGGCCGGGCATGGTGGCTCACACCTGTAATTTCAGCACTTTCAGAGGCCGAGGCAGGTGGATCACTTGAGGTCAGGAGTTCAAGACCAGCCTGGCCAACATGGTGAAACCCCGTCTCTACTAAAAATGCAAAAACTAGCCGAACATGGTGGTGAGCCTTTGTGATTCCAGCTACTTGGGAGGCTGAGGCGGGAGAATTGCTTGAACCCGGGAGGTGGAGGTTGCAGTGAGCCGAGATCATGCCACTGCACTCCAACATGGGTGACAGAGCGAGACTCTGTCTCTCTCTCTCTATATATATGTAAATAAATAAATAAATAAATAAAAGAGGGAGGGAGGAAGGGACTTATCTGTCCTTTAAACATTTGGTAGAATTCCTTTGTGATACCATGTAAGTTTTGTGCCTTATTTGGAGGGCAGGGATAGTGGTGGTGAAGGTGGTTCCCTTTGTGGGTGGTAACCTTTTCTGTATCTCTTATGGAACTCTGCTGTTTTAGATTCTCTACTTCCTCCGAGATAGGCAGGTAAAAAAATTTTTTTGGGCAGACTTTTGTGTATCTAAGTATAGTTCTTTTGATGTTAGGAAGGTTTACTTTTTCCCCGTATTGATTACTTTTATAGTTATAACC